TGCAAATTTTTTTTAAATTGCAGAAAACCTAACATAAAATTAAAGTTTAGAAAAATGATCCCGCAACAAGAAGTATCGCTCATTCGCCTGTTATAGGCCACTTTGTATTTCAGATTCTTTTATCTGAATTTTCTTTTATGTGTTTTTGCAAGACGTTTAAAGCGCCCGCGTAATAAATGGCTCTTTTGCCTACCTGTCGTTTTCTTTATTTAACTTTACCTACTTATCCGACATTTTCCGACAACTGACAGCGGTTTCGCTTAACATTTCAATAGTCGATAACCGATACGTGAAACTGGAACACCAAGTAAAAAGATGAGAAAGTAAAATGCACACTAAAGCAAAATTTGCTAAGAGCAACCCTTTGAACTGATGTGCGGAACAAGTGAAGTTTCATGCTTTTAAATGAATAGAGAAAAATATTCGTGAGACTTGCCAATAGCTATATCGCATTAGCAATTACCTGTAGATGTGAATGCTCATATTCGCATATCAAAAATTAATGCAAGAATTGGACAAAGTAAACTTATCAAATGCTCAAAATTTAATTGTTGTTAAATATTTGATAAAAGAATTTCAATTTTACGAAAGCTGATGTATTCCCATCTCTAACATATTTATCCCGATGTGCCTTTCGTGGCGCAAATTAAAAGCTGACATGTTATAAATAATTAAATTATTTAATCACGTGTCATGCATACATTTCATATATCGTAAAAATTTTTTAATTAGTACCTCGTTTATAGACGTCTAGAATATTTTATATAAAAATATTTATTTTCGAGGGTTGTTTTTTTTTTATCCACAATAAATTAACTTTTTCATAAGTTTTTATTACGTTCGAAAAATTAATCAAAAATGTGCAAAAAAAATAACTCACGCCGGAAAATATTGATGCAACTTGATGCGCGGTGATGTGATAGGAGCAGTCGATACACCGAACGTGTTGATTTCATTCGTACAATGATTAAGAGAGATGACGTAATGCAAGTTGCATAGTACCACTATCATTCGCTTCGGGTAGTGTAACGATCTTATCTATCAAATGCCACGGTATGCGCGTGATGTCAGATTCTCGTGTGTAATATACTCGTACGTGTCTATCTGCGTAATACGTGACGTCGCAATACGTCTGCCTATTCGCGCTATGATATGTCATTCTAGATAGTTCATAATACGGATACATTGTGGGCAAGTAGAAACAGAGCTTTGCTCTAAGAGCTTTGCTTCAGTTGTTTCAAACTGCCAACAGTTAAGAATACTTTATGTAAGATCTCTTGAAATAACGATGAATGAAAGATCAAAACGCATATCAAAGTTCAAAATATATATATATATATATATATATATATATTATTTTGTAATCAATAAAAATAAATTTCAAGTTATAAATGAATTTACGAATAAAATGAAATTAATCGATTAATTATTACTTGTACTTTGACAAATCTCAATGATTATTCGAGACACACGAGGATTAGTATGAGCCTAAAGTAACAATAGAGTTCTCAAATAGCAATTTACAGAAGGATATTTGCCAAATAACTCAGCTGCAAATAACTCAGCAGCAACTCATGAATACGAATCTATAATTAATCATGCTTTCAGCCAGAGACTGAAAATAATCCGCGATTATCTCCGGTAATTAAAATATTAAACGGGAGTCGGTTTTAAATTCAAAGTAAGCAGTAATCACTCCATAAAATTCCAGAAATATCACTCTGATCACTCAGAAGTGCGATTAAGATGCGAGATTAAAGTTTTGCATTTAGCGTCACAGGTGCGACACGA